AGATTCTGCAAGGATGTTGCACAACTGGCACGGAAACAATGCTTATTAAAGCCTAGCATATCTCTGAACTCACATATTGCAGACCAAGCGCACATTTACTGGGTAATAAATCACACACACAAAGGGAGCTGGGAACAGAATTACAGTGCATAGCTGCAAAAATGTAGGCCTCTGCCACTTGAGCTAAAGGACAGCTCAGCCACTTGGCCTTCTTTGCAACAGCCACTAGCTAGCAACATCTCATACAAAGGGAATTGTTTGTCATGACACCAAGGTGAGATTGCGACTAATGTTCCATTATAAACCCTATTTTGACACATCCCCATCTTTTAACTGAAGAAGCTATTGGTCTGAATGTGTCTCTGACTGATGTGAGTGCATATTATAAAATGTAGGTGTGACGGGTTGGATCACAGAAACCCCTTTGGGTCTGCCACCTGATGTGCCGAGACTACCTCTGAGCCCGTTTTCCCTGCCAGCTTTGGGGTTCAGTGCCCTGCTTGTTTGAGCCAGACCCACTAGCCTGCTATAAACCCAGACCCAGGTCAGAACAACATCCCCCAAAAGCTGCAGGCTTAACTGAAAACAGCTTAAGAAGTGTCCTGATGCCCAGCTCCCAGTGGGATCCAAACCCCAAATCAATCCGTTTTACTCTGTATAAAGCTTATACGGGGTAAACTCATAAATTGTCCGCCCTCTACAACCCTGATAGAGAGATATGCAAGCTGTTTGCCCCCGCCCCCCAGGTATTAATACATACTCTGGGTTAATTAATAAGTAAAAAGTGATTTTATTAAATACAAAAAGTAGGATTTAAGTGGTTCCAAGTAATTATGGACAGAACAAAGTGAATTACCAAGCAAAATAAAATAAAACACGCGAGTCTAAACCTAATACAGTAAGAAAGTGATTACAGATAAAACCTCACCCTCAGATGTTTCAATAAGCTTCTATCACAGACTGGATGTCTTCCTAATCTGGGAACAATCTTTTCCCCTGGTACAGCCCTTGTTTCAGCTTAGGTGGTAGCTTGGGGATTTCTCATAATTGCAGCCCCCTTTGTTCTGTTCCACTCCCTTATATAGCTTTGGCACAAGGTGGGAATCTTTTGTCTCCCTGGGTCCCCACCCCTCCTTCTAAATGGAAAAGCACCAGGTTTAAGATGAATTTCAGTACCAGGTGACATGGTTACAAGTCCTGTGAGACCCCAAGCTTTCATTCCTCCCAGCCTGACTCACAGGAAGGCCTGCAAGCAAACGGAGCCATCCACAGTCAATTGTCCTGGTTGATGGGATCCATCAAGATTCCAAACCACCATTAGTCCTCAGAGTTATATTTCATATTCCTAGTTTCAGATACAAGAGTGGTACATTTATACAAATAGGATTACCACACTCAGTAGATTATAAACTTTGTAATGATACCTTACAAGAGACCTTTTGCATGAAGCAAATTCCAGTTATATTATATTCACACTCATTAGCATATTTTCATAAAATCATATAGAGTGCAACATCACAGTAGGATCATAAGGGTTTATATGGCAAGGACTCAAACAATCTATTAATTTCACAGTGGAAAAAAACAGATCCTCATGATTTTTTTGGCCCCTGGTAGCCAAAAAGTGGTTTACTGTAGAAGTTTGAAAATTCTTCAACTCAGTGTTGTGAATGTTTGAATTTTTCCTCCATTGCTTTCAACAGTTTGTGAAATATTTGATATATTTTTAGAGTTAAGCAACAGTTTTATGTCGGGGCTGCTGTAATATGATATATCTGTTATCATCTCAAGCTCCATTTATTTCATTGGCAGCAGTCTGGGCATTCTTTTAGAGATCTGGGGGTTTTAAAACTGGAACATGACAGAGTACTAGGAGCTTAGTGCTAACCCAGCTATCCCCTGCCCTGGAGTGGACTTAATTGGCAGATAGGTTCTCAGTGGCTTATTAGGCATGGGGTTGATGAGCTAATGAGAGCAATCAACTCATCAGCTGGGAACAGTTAAAGGACAGAAAGGAAGTGCAAGGGAAAAGCTGCAGAGGAAACAGGATCCCAGGATGGGGCAATCTTTTCTTCCGCCTCCCTGGAGAGTGAGCTAAGGCAGGGAAAGTTTACTTCCAATTGTATGTTGCTGTATAAGGCTGAACTGGTGGAAGGCACTCAATAAATACAATGGTGCTACTTGCAAATATGTGGATGTCTAGGTTGTTTGAGGTGGTCCAAAGGTGGAGAAGACTGCCAAGTCACAGGAACAGAGACTCATTTCTTATGGTGTATGTGTATGCTGGTAACAGCCAGAAATTCCAGCTGAGATCAGTTGTGCTAGGCCTTTTACATACACAAGGGAAGAGGCAGTCTCTGCCCTGAAAAGCTTACGCTCTAGCTAGATAAGATGGATAAAAAATGGGAGAAGGGAGTGTGATGGTCCCCATTTTACAGATGGAGTACATAGAGTCTTCCTAGGATCACAAAGGAATTCTAGGGCAGTAGCAAGAACTGAGCCCAGATCTGGGCCACTGCCCAGTGCCTTAACTGCCAGGCCACCTCACAAGAGGAAGGACACATGCCCATGAGGGAGCTTAAAATGATGTATGGTCTGTTAGCTGTAAAAGAAGGCCTTGGACTGCTCTCTTTGAAAGCAAGGGCAAACCCATTGGCTTTATGAAAAAAATTGAGGTTTTGGAATTTGGAATACCCATCAGAATGAAATGGAGACTTTTCAACATAGGAACGGCCTATGGGTCAGACCAATGGTTCATCTAGTCCAGTATCCTTGTCTTCAGACAATATCCAGCTGCTTCAGAGGGAATGAACAGAAAGAGGCAGTTATCGAGTGATCCATCCCATCGTCCAATCCTAGCTTCTGGTAGTCAGAGATTTAGGGACACCTAGAGCATAGGATGGTGTCCCTGACCATCTTGATACTAGCCACTGATGGACAAAGCCTCCACGAACGCATCAAATTCTTTTCTGAACCCAGTTATACTTTTGTCCTTCACAGCATGCCCACACATTTTTTGTAAAAACAACCAACCAACCCCACGAGTGACTATTCAATTATTTAGTGGAACAGTTCCAACAGGAGAGTAGGACTCCACCCATAGTGGTTAGGACACTCACCTGGAATGTAGGACACCCAAATTCTAGTGACTATCCTGAGCAGGCGCAAGGACTGGAACTTGGTTTTTCCCACATTGTAGGTAAGTGGCCTAACCACTGGGCTATTGACTATTCTAACACAGGGAAGCCCTCTACCCTGATACATTTCCACACACAAAGTATTTTTGACAAAATTGTATTTTCCAGCAAAGTCTGATTGAAAAATTTCCCATCAGTTCTATCCTGTAATGAGCTCCATGGCATCAGTCCCATTATCGCCCAGCTGCTTCTGTTTATCATTTGTTAATTAACTTGTATTTCTGTCAATGATGAACTAAAACCTGGATTAACTGGAATTATAACTTTGGTGGGTAGCAGTCATCTAAGATAAATTGCACAATGGTTTTTGCTATGACCTTCTGCCAATAGTTGCTTGTAGCTTTCCACACAATTGTCTTTTGGGTTGAAATTTTCCGTGCTTGGGCTCCACGCTAACGTGATGATTGGGTAGGGTTTTATTAGTTTTTTTTTTAATTTATAATTTTGAGCCAGTTGCATTGAGTGGTTTCTGAGGAAGATGAGCTGTCACTCAGCAGTAAACCCAGTTGAGGCCTGTTGGAATAGATACAGAGATTTTTTTCTTGGTTTTCCTTCAAACCCCATTGCCTCCTCCCAAAAATACCTAAGAAATTAAATACAAATAAAACCTGCATTCGTTCAATGTTCCATCCGCACAGCTGAAATCTAAAGAGATCAGATTCCTGCAACAAGGTCAACTGATGATAGGATCCCTGCACATTTCAGAAGCAGGCCTGGACTCCACATACCTGCCAACAGTACTAGTTTGACTGAGCCAATCTCAGTGCCTTGGTGTCCTGGCCAATTTCCCAGGACAGTTGACAGCTTGGGAAAGCTATTAGTTGTGTTGCATGTCCTGCAAATGAGATACACTGAAGGCCACAATATAGGACAAGGCCCCAATCCTACAATGAGCACTGTGCGGGTGGGCTACACTTACAGTGGTTCTCAACCAGGGGTATGTAAATCCCTGGGGGTACACAGATGTCTTCCAGAGGGTACATCAACTCATCTAAATATTTGCCTAATTTTACAACAGGCTACATAAAAAGCACTAGCGAAGTCAGTACAAACTAAAATTTCATACAGACAATGACTTATTTATACTGCTCTATAGACTATACACTGGAATGTAAGAACAGTCTTTATGTTCCAATTGATTTATTTTATAATTATATGGTTAAATGAGAAAGTAACAATTTTTCAGTAATAGTGTGCTGGGACACTTTTGTATTTTATGTCTGATCAGACTCCTGAAAGGGGTACAATAGTCTGGAAAGGTTGAGAACCACTGGGCATCTGTGTGGAGACCATTGGAGCAGGAGTCTGCCCATGGTGCAGGCATAATAGACTCACTGCACATTTAAACAGGAAAACAAGACTGGTCTCCAGTTCCTAGGAGTCACATGGCTGAGTTAAAGTCACTGCGGCAACAGGCATTTTTAGCTGCAACCTAAAAGTACAGCCTGCTTGTTATTTATATCTCACCAGATCAGAGACAGCCTCTGTAGGGTACTGATGTAAGGGACAGGAATGAGGATGGGGCAGTCAGGTGGAGGTGGTTCTGGGATCCTGTTGATTTGGGTCTGGTTCTGGGCTGGAATTAGGAAGTCACCTGGTTTGGTAGTGGGCCTTGTGAGTTCAGTTCAGTTCTGGGCTGGGCTAGGAATAGGTGTTGGCTTTAGTTTGGGAGCAGCTGGGGGATATGGTTCTTCTGGGGTCCCTGTAGGCTCAGCTCTGGGCTGGAATCAGGTGAGGGCTCGGCCTTGGCTCGGGTTCAGGAGCTGAATCTAATGTTGCGGTCCCTGTGGTTGTGGGCCCGGTTCTTGGCTGAGGCTAATGGGTTGGAGCCAGTTCCCAATTCCCGGGCTCACCCACAGATCCACTGGAGCCGGAGCCGGGCCGGCTCAGAGTCCGGGCCTGGGAGACGCGCGGCTTAGCGCCGGGTGCCCGTCCGAGGCCGGGCTAGGGGAGGATCCGGGTCGCGGGCTCCTCCCCGCGGGGCGGGGCGGGCTGGGGCCGCGGCCCGTTTATAGCCGTGCTCCGGCCCGGTCGCGCGGACAGCGGACCCTGCCTCTTCCCGCGCCTGCTCCGGAGCGGCTCCGCCATGGATCTGCAGATCCTGGAGCATCGCGTGCGGGTGCTGAGCCTCGCCCGCCGCGGCCTCTGGCTCTACACGCACCCGCTCCTCAAGCTGCTGCTCCTGCCCCGCCGCAGCAGGTACCGGGCGGAGGGAGCCTGCCTTGCACTGGCGTGTTGGGGGCTGGAGGGTCAGAGGGCCCCGGCTTGGCACGGGGAGGGGGACCAGTGGGCCTTGGTTTCCTGGGGGCAGTGGGCCGGCCGGGAGCAGATCAGGTGAGTATGGCTGTGGGGCAGCTGATGGAAGCGCTAGTGCCCCAGGTTCAGTCTCTCACTTCCTTTCCAAACTGCAGAGTCCCTGGGGATGTGTATGGGCCTATGGGCTGCCCTTTGTATGTGAGGAGGGGTGATGAAAGGCGGGAGCTGTGAAAGCCCTTGGTCTGTGAAACATGTGGGGTCAGGGAGAGAAGGAGATACTGGAGTCAGGGGAGGGGATGAGAGTGAGGGGGGTTAGGAGGATTGGTTAATTTGGGGTGGGAAGCTGTGTGCCCCCAGTGAGTCAGGGTAGTAGATAATGGATATGGGGGGAGATGGATACCCTGAATCCTCTCTGGGGATCCTGCTCCCTCTTTCTGCTTGTGGTAGGCGCTAATGGGAGTGAACTGTAATTGAAGGATCCCAGGTGGATGAGCTTTAGCTAGATGTTGGGGTCATGATTGAGGGGGGTGGGTGGGCGGGCATGGATAATAGGTTGGATTGGGGCAAATTATGGGAGACTGGTTGCTTTGCTTGCAGGGTGAGGTGGGATGCAGCGCGTAGCAGGCTGTATGTGTGGAGATGGCTTGCTGGAGTACATGTTGCTTTGGTAGGCAGCTTCTATGATAAGATGAAACTGGGCCAGGGTGAAGGGAGTCCTGTCTTCCTTTAATATGGAGACCATGACATTCAGACATTTTCTTTCTCCCACATTCCCAGGGTAGGCACACGTTAGAAGTGTGAGTATGAGAAGCTTTTTTTGGGTCACATAATACAAGATGCTTTCACAACTATGCACACTCCTGTGCTAGATGCTCTTTGCACATTCTTGTTCATGGGCTGGTGCTCTGGAACTTTAGCCTAAGGAGTACTGATGTAAAATAGAACTTTAACCTGTGCAAAAATGCATAGTATATTTGGAAGCTGATAGGCTGTGCGCGCCAGACATGCTTACCTGAGACTTTCACACACACTCATGGATAAGTCTGCTTTGTGCTCACTCCAAGTTGGGTCTTGCTCACTCCTAACACAAGTGAATGTTGGCACTGGGCAGCTGTTTGTTGCCATGCTTGTTGCTTCTCTGGCTTGCATCACATTTCCTTGTGATTCAGCAGCTGGGGGATTTCCCCTGTCCTGATATGCCTACAAAACCCAGGTCCATCTGTTGGGTGTCTGTGAATGAAATTGCCCCAGGCTCAGAGAGCCCTAGCTCCCTTCATGAGAACACTTAACTCTGTTGCTGCATTCTTCTCTCCACTGAGAAGTGTGCTTCTGAATTCAGGTGTGCTCTTTAAAACCATCCGTCTCACCCTGAATCCACTGAAACATCCCAGCTGCCCTTGGATGTGGTGCTGTCTGTGGGCATCACTCTATGCCAGAGAATAGTCATGTTAGCTAGTCTCATGTTTGATGTTGATTCTTGCTAGAACAGTGCTAATGCTTTCAAGTCCTACTGTAGATAATAATGAGGAGGGGTTTATTAAAACATGCTATAGCCTGGGTCTCCCTCCTCAAAGACTGGATGCATCTTTAAAAATCAAAGCCAGTAATCTTGCAGTACTAAACATGATTGGATGGAAGGAAACGGGTCCTGTCTCAGCACTGTTGTGAAACATGAGTGTTTCTAATCCTGTTGGGCCACTGCTGTGTTTCAGAACAGTGCTTAAATGTGGCTGTGTAGTGTAGATGGTTCCTTCCAGTTTGCAGAGGGGAAATGGTGGGTGACGCAAGCATACAGGTCCATGGAAAAGTACCTTAACTATCCTTACCTGAGAGGAATTGCTCTACCTGTGGCAAGTGAACCAGTACTGGAAAATGTTTCAGTGTGCGCATTACATTCAATTATGTGTTGGTAGGTGCAAGTTCTTCAGCTTGACAGAGACTCCCGAGGACTACACCATTATGCTGGATGAAGAAGGCTTTAAAGGTACTGTGTGACAACTCTCTCATGCTGAGGCTGCAATTCCTGGAGACACAATGCTTTCCCCAGTTCTGGCATTAGCATGCTTCCTTTTTCATTGCCATTCAAATGCTGTTCAGACCCATTGTTTCTCTTTGCTGCTTTGAAAACCCTACGTCAGAGGGCAACTGCAGGACATAGGGTAGATTTTTCTGTAGAGCCCCATTGCTGTTACTGGCTTTAGGCTTAATACAGGTCTATCAGTATAATGTGTGCCTCGATCCATGTTATGAATGCTCATGTAGATGTGCATTGGGTGCCCTGTAGCTTTCTGTACATGTTAATACTAGATGAGTACTTGTTATCATGTTGCTTGCTAGATGCACTTTGGTATTTAAAGAGGAAATGCAAATATCAACCAGCTTCAGTGTAATGAGCTTGAATGCCCCTCATAACCTGGATATGTGAGGGTGAGGCTTTTCCACATCTGGTGGGGTTCTCAAAACCAGCCATACTTCTACTTCTGGAGTTGTGGCTCCTGCTCAATGCCTTCCTAGCCTGTGATGTGCTGCTGATGTCACGTTCACCATAGAACCTTGCCAGCTGGCCTATAGAGGCCAGGGAAGTGTTGGTGGTGTGGTCTTGCCAAGTGTACTTCTAGAGACAAGAAGGTGTGACAACTTAATGCTTTATAGATGGTGCAGTATACAGCAGGAGTGCCAGAATGGGGGGGCCAAGGGGCCATGGCCCCACCGCTTTTGAAAGTGGATGGGCCTGCCCTGTCCACTTTTTGCCATGGGCCCAGCCTCCTGCCCCAACTTTTCCCCCTGAGGCCCCACCCCGCAGTCAGGCTGGAAGCTGAAGCCTGGCTTGCATAAGAGCAGTCCAGGCAGCTGTGGGGAGCCATGGACTCTCCACTTGCCTGCGGTGGGGGTCATGAGAGCAGCCCTTAGCCTGTGTCCCCACTCCCCAGGCGTGCCTCCTCCGCCCAGGGCAGGTGGAGGGTCCATGGCTCCCGGGTGGAGGGCCATGGCCTGCCTGTGGTGTTTTGGCCCCCGAGTCCCTGCCCCCCCGGCCATGCCAGAGCCGGGTTGGAGTAAGAGCCATGTAGGCAGCTGTGGGTGGACACACACACACACGCTCTCTCGCTCTCGTCGGGGGACCCCTGGGAATGGGGACATGGCCAGGGTCTGCTCCCAGGCCCTCCCACTCCAGGTAGGTGGAGGGGCCAGTGCTTCCTGGCCCAGCTCTGGCTTCCGGCTTGCCTGGGGGACAGGGGGTGGGGGGGAGAGCAGGGCCATGGTGGGAACAGAGCTTCATTGCTCCTCCACTGTTAGGAAAATAAACTCTGGTTGCTTGAGTTGTTGCTGCTACCACAGCTGCTTGTAGACCTTTGCTAAGACTTACTATTCCAAATTACTACAATGTAATGAAGCAATATCAGTAATATAGATAAACTAAGGCTGGAAGAGGATAAATATATTGTTTCTTTAAAACTGTAGCAGTAAGCCAGGCAGGCAGGCAGTGTTCCCTCTAATTTTTCCCACCCATGTGCAGAATAAATTATGTGCACCATCACCTCTATTTTGCTGCACATAACAAAATTTCATGTGGTGGGGGTGGGGCCGAGGGGTTTGGCGTGTGAGAGGGGGGGCTTGGCTGGGGCAGAGGATTGGGGTGTGGGTGGGTGAGGGCTCCAGTTGGGGGTGTGGGCTCTGAGGTGGGGCTGGGGATGAGGGGTTTGGGGTGCAAGCTGCCCCAGGGGCTATGATGGGGAGAGAGGACCCCCCACCTCTCTCCCTGCAGCAGCACCTGGGCGGGAGGGGGGAGGGAGGAGGAGAGGCGTCTCTCCCCAGGCCACGGCAGATCTGTGTCAGGGCTGGGTTGGGGCCTGGGGAGGGACACCCCCTCACTCACCATGGCAAGTCCAGGGCAGGTCCCTATCCAGGCTTAATAGGCAGCTGCGTAGCCATGCCGTTTAGAGGGAATTTAGCAGGCAGGAGGTGAGTTCAGGGAGTCTTCAATGAAGCAGAAAGATGATAGATTTAGTAAGTAAATGTTGGTGGTTCTGTACCTTTGTTGCCAGACAGGCTGCATAAAATAAATGTCCAAGATGCAGTTCGGTCATTTGGTTTAATCATAGACTATCAGGGTTGGAAGAGACTCAGGTGGTCATCTAGTCCAATCCCCTGCTCAAAGCAGGACCAATCCCCAACTAAATCATCCCAGCCAGGGCTTTGTCAAGCCAGGCCTTAAAAACCTCTAAGGAAGGAGATTCTGCCACCTCCTTAAGTAACCCATTCCAGTGCTTCACCACCCTCCTGGTGAAATAGTTTTTCCTAATATTCAGTCTAGACCTCCCCCACTGTAATCAATTCACCATTCAGTACAGGGTTGTCCATACTCTAACCCAGTGATTTCCAAACTGCAGGTTGCGATCAAGTACTGGGTTGGGGACTGTAAGACACTGGGTCATGGCAGCTCTGGTCAGCACCGTCGACGGCACCGTTAAAAGTCCCATTGGCAGTGCTGCCCAGCAGAGGCAGGCTAGTCCCTATCTGTTCTGACACTGCGCTGCGCCCCAGAAGCGGCCAGCAGCAGGTCCGGCTCCTAGGTGGGGGGGCCACGGGGCTCTGTGCACTGCCCCCGTCCCAAGCACTGTCTCTGCACTGCCATTGGCCAGTTCCCCTAGGAGCCGGACCTGCTGCTGGCCGCTTCCGGGGCATAGTGCGGCCTGTGTTGCCAGGACAGGCAGGAAGCCTGCCTTAGCACCCCCGCTGACTGGGAGCTGCCCAAGATAAGCCCCATACCCAACCCCACATACCAATCCCCTGCCTCAGCCCTGAGCCCCACCAAACCCAGAGCCCCTTCCTCCACCCAAATCCCTCATCCCTGGCCCCACTCCAGAACCTGCACCCCCAGCCCAGAGCCATGACCCCCCCCCCTCCTGCACCCCAACCCACTGTCCCATTCCTGAGCCCCTCAAACCTGGAGCCCCCTCCTGCAGGCCATACCCCTCATCCCTGGCCCCACCCCTATATCCCAACCAGGGCTGGTGCAACCGCTAGGCAGACTAGGCAGCCACCTAGGGCGCCAAGTGGTTGGGGGCACCAAAACGCGGTGCCCCAAATAAATATATATATATATATAGAGAGAGAGAGAGAGACAGACAGACAGACAGACACGCTGCTGCTGCTGCTTCCCGGCTCCAGAGGGGTTGCCTGTGGCGCGATCAGTCCCTCCCACTGGGGGAGCATCCGGCGGTGGAGCAGGGAAGGGGAGGGTCTAGCGCTAGCAGCTGCGCCTTCTTCCCTGTGCCATAGGCCCAGTTGGGCTCCCCGCCACCCCTGGGGCTCTCAGCGGCAGCAGCAGGATTGGGCGCAGGGGTCTGGCTGCCTGTACCGCCGCTGAGAGCCCCAGGGGCGGCGGAGAGCCCGGCTCGGCCTGCGGTGTGGGGAAGAAGGCGCAGCTCCGCTCTGCTCTTCGGGAGGAGAAGCTGGGTGTCGACGACTCCTGCAAGGTACCTAGCCGGGCCGCAGGGAGCTGTACGGGCCCACGGAGCGCCGGGGAGTGGGCAGGTCCAGTCCCTGGCCTGGGGAATGGTGTATGTGGGAGCAACCCAGGCACCTGTCCCCCAGCCAGCGCCACCCCCTCCAACACCCAGCTGCCTTCTCCCCTGTGCACCCCACGCCCCAACAAGCCATCCTCTCCTGCCACTTTTGCCTCTGGGCAACCTCCACCCAGCAATCCCCCCCTTCCCAGCCACCATGGTCACCTTCACCCCTGCATCAACCTCGGAACCCCCCCCCACTCCACTGCCATCTTCCTTCTGCCCACTCCTCCCTTGTGCAAACCCTTCCGTGCCACCTTCACCCCCCTGCAACAACCCAGGGCACAGACACACCCCTGTCTGCCAGCCCCTTGCAGCAACCCCCTCCTGTCCACTTCTCCCTTGTGCCGTTCCCTCCCTGCCACTGCACCCCCTGCAACAAGCCCCTTTAGCCTCTGTGCAATCTCTTCCCTGCCACTACACTCCCGCCCCCTCCACCCCCTGCAACAATCCCATGCACCCCCCCTCTCTGCCACCTTCACCCCCTGGAAGAGCCCCCATATGACCCCCCTCTTTGCAGCCCCCCCCATACTCCCTGCACTTTGTGAACATCCGGGCCCCTGGGGGGGAACTTGGCCATAGGAAGGTGGGGGCTGGACATCGGCGGGGGCGCGCAAGGTGGAAGCCTCGCCTAGGGCGGAAAATATCCTTGCACTGGCCCTGATCCCAACCCTCTGTCCCAGCCCTGAGCCCCTCCCACACCCCTCATCCCCAGCTCTGTTGGGTCACGGGCATCAACAATTTTCTTCAACTGGGTCGCCAGAAAAAGTTTGAAAACCACTGCTGTAACCTGATGAGGATGCTCTGCAGCACTGAGCCCCTCACTGGCACTCTGTCTGCGACATACCGGTTCTGTGCTAGTGAAACTAGGACCAGAAAGAGATGCTTTCATTCCTTTTCAGTTAGCATATTATACTAGCAAGCACAAATCCAAGTCCCTTCAGTTTATTTTTGTAGGGTTCCCTTGTCTCCCACACTAAAAAATGGTGGAGGTGGTAGGGAGTTCATTCCTATATATAGATTTCTGCCTCTCACTCAGTGCTTGTTAGAGGAGTTGGAAGGGACCTTATCGCTGGAACTGTGTGTGCTGTATATCTGCACAACTCATGCCAGCTATATGCATGATGCAGCCTAAAGCTAACCCAGGCTAACATAGCCCTCTCCTGCACATGGTGTGCATGTATGCTTGGAGAACGAGGCCTCTGATTTGTGCTTCCCAATCTGGGTGTGTTTTCCAATTTCCCACTCCTGTGTCTTCCTGTTGCAGGACAGCACAGGCTGGCAGAGAATAAAATGAATGTCTTATCTTGTTGGATCTGGCTCAGGAGGTGTCACGGACCTGGAAGCTGAACTCAAGTTCCCTGCTTCCCCCAGCTGCAGCATGGCACTAGATTGGGTCTGGTGGATCTATCCGTGG